TATATATATCTATATATATATATATACATATATATATATATATATATATAAAAGTTCCTACTTTACCGGAAAAGCTCAACAGGTCAGAAAGAAACGAGAAACTTTACACACGTGACCAAATAAAAATTAAATAATCCCCTATTTTTTAAATTTGCTTCCAAAAATCCAGTCGATGTTTTAACGTGATCTTTGTCAATATTTGTCCAGGTTGTCTGGAAGTCTTTTAAAGTTTGCACTTGGACTTTGGCTGTTTTGTTGTTTTTAATCAGTACTTTACCATTTCCCAGGAGAATATTTTGTTTGTTTGTTTGTTTGTTGTCAATTCCCTTGGCTTTAACCTATAAATCATTCTGCTAATATCGAGATGAATCAGTGATAAGTCCACATAAAAAAATCAAATTGAACAAATACACTGATTTAATTGAATGTTGAGTTATCAAATACTAGTTAGCCAGTTAACTAATGACTTGCTAGCTAGTAACATGTTCTAGTAGTAAGTTACCTGTTAACCAGGTAGTACTGTGTAGGTTTTATTTTTGGTGTATGCGTATATTTGTTACCATCACTGACTATAGCCTCCTATTATTATTATTCATTAGTTTTATGTTTTGGCCTGCGGTAGCTCGGTGCTATGGTCTTGTAATCCTGAGGATGCGCGTTCGAGCCCAGCTTGCATCAGGAACGACTTTCGGCGTGGAAAAAAAAAAAAGCTAAATAACTTCAGGCGAGTTTGCTTGCTGCGGTGACCCCTGAAGAAGAGAGCAGCCGAAAGAAATGTACGTACTTTTTAGCATTCAGTCAGGTCATCTGGATGTTTTTTTTTTTTTTTGCCGAGACGTTTCGTCCTTCATCCAAAGGACTTCTTCAGTCTGAGGAGCCACCAAACAAACTGAGTCCCACAATCAGCAATCTGAAACCATCCAGATGACCTGAATGAACTTTGTTGGATTTTTACCTGGATTATTGAGCATGAACTAAGATGTACAGTACTTTTTCAAAGTCGTTTCATTTTTCCACGCACTTCTACCGCAGACACCAGAAGTAGCCATGCACGTGTTGTTCGAGGTAAAGGATGCCAGAGTTTATGCATGTTCATACCACAACCTGATGGACTGATGCGTCACGAGTCAGTGACCTCTTTATAATTAAAGTGCATTTACTTTGAGTTAATTTAATAAAATATACAACAAGCAGCAAGAAGAGTTTATTCACCTGAATGTGCTGTCACTGCTAAGAATCTGTATCCAAAGAATAAATGAACATTTGACTTTTGAAACTATGAAAGTAGATGTTATTGATTATCTTCTTGGTACTAAATTTATTCTAAGTATACTGTAGTTAAGTTGATGCACATCTGAAATAAATAGTTCAATCCACTGTCCAAATATCAAACTTCAGCTGTTAAAACAAAACAAAAAAAAAATAAAGATCTTGAACTCCAGTGGTTCTGCATACCTTTGGACTGAGTCAGGACTGTGCTTCTGTTTATGGAGGACTCGTGGTGGCCTCGAACAGAGAAAAACACCTTCGCTGCCTCCTCGCCTTTGCACTCCAGGATATCCAGCACCGTTCTGACTCTGGCCCGGGACCCCGGCAGACACAAGACCTGCTCACGGTCATCCCGGGTGAACACTTCCTGACTTACCAAATCTTCCAGGAGGGAGTCGATCTGTCCTTCCAGTTCATCCACGAGGGAAACTCGCAGCACCCTCACTGCTGTCAGACAAGAACTACAAGGACTGGTTTCCACCATACCTGACCTGAAATAATCCTCAGGGCAGGTCAGATCTCATCAGCCGAAGGTCACTAGTTGACTTGTAGTTTATCGTCTTGTCTTGTGCAGGAATCCTTCTTTCAGTGCTGAGAAAGAGAGAGTAGACTGTTTTTGAGCACTAAAAGAGGAAGTGTTTGTGGCGGTGACAAAACTTGTAGAGACGACAGGAGTGTTGACGGTCTTGTTTTTCAGGCTTGTCGTTAATCCTATTGTTCCAGTTAAGTTGTTTCACTTTATTGTTTGACGCCCTTTAATAAAGGGCATATTTTTTTACTCCAGTCAAACACAATACCCAAATAATATAAAAAAAAAAGGAATGCATTTGTATTTATTTTGTGACAAACTGGTAAAAGAAGCATAAAGCAGGACACAAAGTCACCAGGAGAGGGCCCTCCTGCTTAAAACAAAACTACACAAAGAAAAACTCATAAAATAAATAGTAAAAATGACAAATATATACATAACTTAAGAGCATGGGTAACGTGCTACCCATATTTTTACTTTTCTAAACAAAAAATATCCACAACTCATTGATGAAAAGACCCAGTAGTTTCCTGCAAAGCAACTGTAGATGCAAATCTTTGTGTATTTGTAAAGTTACAAGTGCAAACCCTGCTTATCTGGGAAAAAATACATACGTACGGTTAATTATTAACAGTCTCTACAAAGTTCCCTAAACAAACGGCAACACTTCTCGACACGTCAACGTCAAATAATCACTAACAAGCAGTAAAGTTCAGTGTCACAGCGATGTCAGAGGATGTTCTTGTAATTTGGTGAAAAAGATTAACTTTTTTTTTATTTTTTATTATTACCTTACATCAATAGGGAACAAGTGTGTTTACCTTGTATATTATGTTCTGCAATGTTATGTTAGTGGTTAAAAAGTCATTTGGACAAAAACAAACTCATGACAAATCATTAACAATACATGTATTTAAAAAAACAAAAAAACTCTGCAAACCATGTTTTCAACAAGGACTTTGAGGAGTTCTGAGTGCAAATTACAAATATGTTCTCCTCCTGGTCAGCTACATCTCCCTTAGAGGAAGAGGATTAGGGCCACGGTGCAACTTTTTTCTCCCTTAATTCTGAGAAAAAAGTCAGAATTAGATGAGGCCTGTCGCAATAAACAATAAATCAGTTAATGGCGTGATAAATGAAAATTATCGACCTCGTTTTCATTTATCGGCTGTATTGTTTCTTCGTCTCTCTCTTTCTACTGAAGACACTGGATGACAAAAAGCTCAACTCCGGGGCTCTTCACTGACCCCTCCTTAACCGTCCAAAATCACGTTTTTGGATGGTTAGAAGCAGCTAAGCTACAAGCTAAGCTACAAGCTAAGCTAACAGGTCGACCTCAGGAATAAACCCCCGTCTTGTCGAAGCTCCAAAATTCACAGTTGAAACCTGTGTCTTTGTGTAAAAAGTTGTTTTTCTCTGCAAAAAGAAGCTGAGAACTTGTTTACTGATTTTTAATTAAAAGCTTTGTGTGAAAAATGCTAAAGAGCTCAAATCACCAAGCGTCATGTCACCATGTCAGCCCATGTCACGTCAAGGGTCCTCCCTCCCATTTTTCTTAAAGAGACAGCTGCTCAACTATCCATCCTTTGGTTCAAAGTCTCATACTACCATCTGGTGGTCAAAAATGTAGTACACTCCAAAAAAAATCAACTTTTCTTCTAAAATTTGACAATTATTGTTAAATTTCAAACAACATTATCGTTTATCGCAATAATTTCTGAGACAGTTGATCGCCCAGCAAAATTTGTTATCGTGACAGGCCTAAATTAGATAGATGAATTCTGATTTTTTTTTTTTTTCATCGTAATTAAGGAAAAATAAATTATTGCACCATGGCCCTAATCATCTTCCATACTTAGTGCAACCCATTAACATACATTTTTATGTTTTGCTACTTTTCTTTTCTGCCAGGAACTGTGGTAAAACCATGCTTGATCCCTGCTGTCAAAATACTAACTACTGTGATTTACTTCCCTAGAGGTTGTTACTATAGTTTTGAATCTTATGAACGGCCCTTTAAAACTAATAGGAACTGAGTCCCAGACAGTTTTGAGACTTTTTTTTTTTAAACCTCGTTTTTCTCACTGATACAAACACACACATGCTCCTCCTTTGCTATGGACCTTTTTATGGATACCGATGCGTGTGTAAAGTCTGGCACCACATGCCCAAATACATTCATAGAGACGTCCGGTAACTACGGTAGAATCTACTGGGAGAATACCAACTGTTGATAGTAACGAATGAACAAATAGAAGTTAATTAGATGTCAAATAACCGGAAGTAGGCATGAATATATCTAGACCTCATTGCATTGCAAAATACTGAGACAAGGTAGAACAGGCTGAATGGAGGAGCGGAGCAGTCATGACCGGCGAACGTACACTCAGGAAGGAAGGGCGAGGTGGTTGGGCACTTGACAAGCACGCTTGGCTGCAGCAGTATGGCCATACAGTACGTCTCTACATGCGTATGCAGTGACGACATTACGTACATATGTAGTGGCGTACAACCACACTTTGTCAATGGTCATACCATGTGACTAACATTCAAGAGATTGGCTGTTTTGAATGACTCATTGAAAGAAACGAATCCCCAAGATCCATCTCCCTTCAAACATCCTTAAATCTCATCTCTGCCTGTCACCAAATATATTAAAATTTACCATTAAGGCAACATGGAAAGAAATCTGCTTGAATAAAAGAACAACAAACGCACAGTTGACCAGTGGTTTTTAACAGTCCTGTTTGAATGTTCAAAATGAATTCAGGTTGATGGGCCAGTTGTGAATTTCCCTTTGAGAAACTGCCGTCACATGTTTCTGTGGCTCACTCTAGAAACACATTTAGAGTTGGACAGAAAAAGCGGTTTGTGTGGAGAAATAAAAACAAGAAGCGAAACCGAAGCCTTTATGATTAGACGTTTTGTCCTTGACAACATCCTCGAGGAGGGGAAGATCAGAACCGCTTCGGTTTCAACATTTCTCCTCACTCAGTTGTCCCCCATCCAGGAGAAATCCCCGAAGATCTTGGTGGGTGCTGGGGGTTGGATTTTGAGGATTCCCATCTTCACAGGTACCGTCCCCGACCCGTGCCTCGTCTTGGAATCTTGGCCTCAGGTGTTTTTGCAGGAGAAGCAGCAGCGACTCTTAAACCGAGGCAGCGGGCAAAGCTGCAGCTGTCGAACCTTCTCACAGTATCTTGTACTGTCTCTGCACTCTGCTGCTGGAATACACAGAGGGACGCTGTGAATTTACTGGGGGGGAAAAGAGCAAGAGGGATGCAGTATTTTGATCTAAACTTCCCAACGTCGAAAGAAAGTTTGTCAGCTATCTAGTTAGAAATGGTTAGTAACTGTTAATTATTAGTAACAGTTTGTTACCAGCTAGCAAGTAACTGTTAATGGTTAGTAACAGTTTGTTACTAGCTAAAGTAACAGTTAGTAGCTGTTAATAGTTAGTAAAAGTTTGTTACTAGCGAGCTAGTAACTGTTAGCAGTGTTTCCCCTACCACCACCCTGCTTGTATAATGCAGCGCCCAACAGTGTTGCCAGGTGAGAAATGTAGGATTATCGTACTAGAGACATAAAATTATCGTATTTTGAGGGAAATTATCGTACACCTGTCACAACTAGAATAACAAATCTATTGATGCATAGTAGTGATGGTCGGCTTCCAGACCAGTTCTGCTGCTTCTTCTTTTCTTTTCCTCACTCATGGGGCGGGTGCAGCGGACTATTCAGCCAATCATGGCCCCTTGTTTTGAGGCAAACGCAAACACGTCACTTGTAGGTCACATTTAGAAAAGTGCGAGCCAATCGTGCATCTGTTTGCGGACACAGATGCCTTCAGGGTTCACAAAAAAACTCCGACAGACAGTTGCGACAGGCTGATGACAACAGATTACAACTACACATTCACGGAGTGGTCAAATTATCGTATATTTGGCCTTTTTTAGGATTATTGATCGTACATATGGAAAAATTGTCGTACAAATACGATAATTATCGTACACCTGACAACACTGGCGCCCAACAGAACACAGAGCGCCCCGCCTACTGAAATAAACTGCACTTACACCCCCCACCCCCGGCACTGACATAGCGCTAAGCTAGCAGCGCACAATACAGGCGTGCTAGCTAAAAAGCTAAAGGCACGGCTTACGCTGCCTCTTCCCTCACGCTGGACCTCCCCCCCCCCCCCGCACTTGAAAACTGTTGGTCCAAACAGCACACAGCTCAGACGTGTCTCCGTCAAGAGACTTCCATCCCCGCCGCCCCGTCAACAAAAATCATGGACAAGATGAGCACCCTGCCGTGGCAAGTTATCTAGGGGAAACATTGGTTTTATGTTAATAATAACAGTTTGTTACTAGCTAACTAGTAACAGTTAGTAGCTGTTAACATTTTGTCATTACAGGCTCATGAAGCCATATAACTACTGTTTTTAATGCACCTTAATATAGTCTACCTAAACATTTATATCTATACAGTAATTATTTTTTCCTGGTGCAATGACTACTTGGGAACAATCTCTTTGCAATAACAACTTTCCAACTTTCAAACAACTTTTTTAATAGTTTGTTACTAGTTAGCTATAAGAAAAAGTAGCTGTTATTAGTAAAATAATTGTGTGGCTCAGAGTAAAAAATATTTGGCGTGGTTAAAAACTTTTATACAGCGCTTTAAACGATGGGCAGACAATACATTGCGTTTGTATTTACAATTACCAACATTTTAGCTTTATAGAAAAGGGAACATAGAACTAACTCCAAATTAAGACTTTGAGAAAAACAATTTTTATCATTTTACTAAAAAAAAAAAAAGGCTTCAGAGAAAATGATCAGTTTACAGGTGTTCTGAGATCAAAAACGTTTTCAATCAATCAGATGTGCAGTCTGTTTTTCTCACCTCTGCCACAAGGGAAAATATTGCATCTCTGCCAGCTGGGAGGCCGAGGCCTCCACATGCACTGGTGTTCTCGGGTTGTTTTGTTGGTTCGGTGGTGCTTGCAGGTCACCTGACGTGACTGGAAGCCATGTTGACCGCAGGTGGCCGTGCACTGAGTCCACGGGCCTACATGCCAATGAAGGGCGCACACGTCTGTAGAACAGTTCCTCAGGGAGCTTGGCCTAAAAAGTACATTTCTGTTGAATACTTTTCACTTGTACATTAGTATAAATAACCCACAAAAGCTCATATTGTTAAACCTGTGTTTACCTCTTGAGTCCATGGCACACCTTGGAGGGAACTTTGGTACCATTTGTGTCCTGGCAGTAAACATGTCGGTGATGCGTCGCCAAACTGGGACCCACGCACCGTCCATGACACTAAAATGTGACCAAATTATTTTATATTTTATTATTATTTATGTGTGTACTTTTAACTTAAGCATAAGTAAAACACTTCTTTTTAAAAATATCTTTTTAATTGCACTAAAGCATTTTAAGAAGTCTGGAATGAGCACACTCACCGGCCCCCAAGAGGTCGTGGTCCATCTGGCACAGGGCAGAACGTTGCAAAGCCTGGTATTAGATGGTTTCCTCCCTTCTCTTTGGCACTGCCTGCTTTCTACTTCTCTTGAACTGCTCTCAGGACCCCTCATGCACCGGACCCTTCTGGCCTGAGATCCACTTCCACAAGTGGCTGAGCAGGGTGACCAAGCATCCACTTGCCATCTAATCAAGCTGGAAGCAAAATAAAATTAGCTCTTTAGAAAGCTCTGCATTTTTCATTTGGTCCTAAAATAAGTGTTTTACTCACTGAAGAGCCTCAGGGTAGAAACTAATAGAACTGATATGTAGCAGAGACAGACCTGAGGGGGCAGGCTTGTCCACGACACAGCTCAGCTGACCGGCTGCTGTTCATCCTTTCTGAACAAGTATGGCCAGTACTGTTACTGTAGACACAGCTTTGTACTTCATTATCTGAAAGTATAAATGACATATTTTCACTTCAGAGTAATCAAATGTATCCCAACTTGCCATGATGATCATATTTTTTGGTTTGGTTTGGTGTGAAGTTGCATTTTCTACAAATATGACACGAAGCTCTATTTACAACTCCTCTTGTAAAGTTTTCCATTTATTTCTGCGGCACTCTTCCTGCAGCTCACAAACACACCCGTCACACAGTCTTTGACTCAAACTGAAATAGGAAAATACATCTGGCCCACTTTAGGCACTTTTAAACCTCTTTATTCTTTCCATTTAGATTAGCAGAATGGGATACGTTGAGTCAATCTTCTTTGAAACTTTGCCTGGAACCTCTAATTGTTGCAGCATGCGGAGGAAGAGTGCAGCACAATCAGGAAATCCACAGTGGCGGTGCTTTGATGAGCACACAGTAATTTAGTGTCTGATCTTTGCATGGAGGAGACAAAAGGGCTGCGTAGTTCAGAGACGACCCAAGCTGTGACGTTCGCCGGACATTCCCCATCACAGACTCAGACAGATGTGCCACTAGGGTAAGTACAAGCTCACCGTGTCTGCTTGTGTTTCTCAGCTGGAAGAATGCGTTCCTAAAGAACAACACCCTAAACTGAACTACTTTAAACCTGATTCAGACACACTTAACATGATGTTAGACCAATATAGACTTTATGTCATTTTATTTTTGCTTCTGAGACTGTTTTAAGCAAAGTTAAAGTTTGGTATTTGATTATTACAAAAATTATACTAGATTTTATTATACACGTTCTTTAAAACAGGCTACTTTCCTAACTTTGCTAAAATTGAGCTATTATATGCTAATAACTCTCTTCTGGCACAAAAAGTCAGAAAAGTAGTGTATATATATTTAACTTAAAACAAATCAATACATTAATTATTCAGTTACCATATTTAACTAAACAACACAAAAAATACTTTAAATAAAAGGAAATAAACTTTTACTGTTTCTTTACTTGATTATGATAAAGGTAGCTAGAGCACCAGTTTGACACGACTGTCAACAAGGAAGAGGGCCGGCAATTGAAGAGGGGGCGTGACAAAGACACCATCTTAGCACCAACATAACTGGTTTGTTCCACTTTGGAGTAAGCTGTTGGGGGAAGAATCAGTTTTGTGTAGTGTGTTTCCTTGACTGATGAAGTCTTCCGGATAGAAGGCGAAACGTTTCAGCACAAAAAAAGAAACTGTCCAGATGACCTGACTGAAAAATGTTGGATTGGATACCTGGATTATTGAGCATGGACTTTGTTTTAGCTAGAGCAGTATTTCCTTGAACAAAATTTTTTAATTTTATTTTCTAAAACTAATTAATGGTGGTTTAAATCATATATTGCAAAGTGTGAACAGTGTGCTATCATTGGTGGTGAGAGACCTTTTCTTGAAATTCAAAAAGGTGTACCACAAGGCTCTGTTTTTGTCACTTCTTTTTTGGTTTTTACATTAATAATTTGCTTGATTGACTTGGTGCATGTTTTCGAATGTACACTGATGAAAGAGTTAAATGCATAGCTGGTAGGGACATCAAATCAGTCTCAACACAACTCTCATGTTATTTGGAGTCTGTTGAAGCATAGTTTGGAAAAGGAATGAGCAATTCAAGCAAAGATACTCTTCAAATTTTTATGTTGGTATTCTAACAATGTTTGAACATGAAAAAATGAGCTAACTGTAGAAACTTTACTTGTGATCAGCAGCCAAGAATAAATAGATGTGCTTCCAAGATCATTTTTGGCTGTACAGGTGTATAGCCCCTCGTCCCCTTTCCCCGGAGCCTGGATCTTCAGTGAGCCTGAAGGTAATTGGCCAACTCTGTCAGCAGAAACACAAAATACCTACAATCAGATCTGTTATTAGCTTGAAAAAGAAAAAAAAAAATCAGAGTGAGGATAATTCTTACCTTCCATCATAACGCAACACTTTTTCATTTTTTGTCCATGTTAGAGTTGGCCAAGGGTCCCCCAGAGCCTCGCACTTTAGCTCCAAAGAAGCAACAGGTTTCTGCAGCAAAACCGGCACTCCAACATCAACTACAATTTCAGACTGTGACACTGTGCCAATCTTCTTAGGTCGCTGGATAATCACTGGTTTTCTAGCCCTGGATGTGTGGGTTTTGAGGTTCAGCTTGTAAAGGAGTAATCCTTGTGTAGAAGCTTCTGCGCTGTCCAGTGAGTGGTTGGTGGATTCACTAAGCAACTTAAGAAGCGGTTCTTCTTGTGGTCCTCTAAATCCTTCAGAAAGGTTGTGCATGAGCTCATCTAGCTTGTGGCTGTCAATAACAAGAACAACTGGGATTGAAGATTTTGTAACTTCATCCTCAAGAGTCACCCTGTCCTTCTCCCTCGAGTAAGGTTTGTCAGCAAGATATTTTTCATTGTGTATAGATCCTTTAAGCTTAAGCAAGTGCTCTACAATATCGTCATATTTGTTGAGGGAGATGGGTAGCTCCATAGATGATTCTTTGGTTGAGGTGGTTACTGGACGCTTAGCCTTTTGTCGACCACTTTCAAGTAGCCAGGAGTCTGGAACAGTCAGCTTTTGCTTGTTGCCAACAATCTGCAGAACAAAATGTTCTCGCGCCTGGCCTATGGTGCATGTGTAAATCCCAGTATCAGATATATGAGCGTGCTGAATCTTTAAGTATCCTTGTGATTTTATGAAAAAATGTGGGAGGTTCACCAGAGGCTTCCCATCTTTAAGCCACTGAACGTGGCCTTTCCGGAAGTGTTGGGTTGGGCAGCGAAGGATTACAGTTGTCCACGGCAGGAGGTAAGCATAACCACCAATAACCAGCTGTACCTTTTTGACCTTTCTCCACTGAATGTACACCTTCCTTTGGGTCAGAATGGTAGGATTGGGCTTCAGTGAATCTGCAGTTAAAATAGAAAGAGTTTAAAGACGTAACACTAAGCATTTCTTGTCTTTCTTCGACAGATGTTGTAGGAAGACAAATGACCTAAACAGTCCCTTACTTTGACATAACTTAAGAGAGCATTGCCGGATTCTGATGGGACGGGCCATCATAGAACAGTTCCTCGGGTTGATGGTCCGATATTGCCCACTCTCTCCTTGTTTCTTGCATACAGCTTGAAGAGTCTGAATACCATTTCCACAGCTTACTGAACACTGGACACAGACATTAATACAAAAGTTAAAAATAATTAGCACAATCTGCAAAGCAGAACTTTTAGAAACGTTGAGCAGTAAAAACTTAGCAAGGTTGAAAGGATGGGCTACCTGAGACCAGTCAGTTGTGACCCACTGAGGTGGACAATCCTGCCTACCACACAAACTTAGATTTGCAGGGCTAGGTGATGGACAAAATGAGTCAGGTAGCTCCAAGATGCTGCCATCTGCCAAACTCTGTTTGCACGACACCCGCCTCCTCTGAACTCCACCTCCACAGGTCTGTGAGCACTGCAGAGGCAACAGCACTTAGGCGGCAGGAGTAATAAGTACTATAAACCTTTACAGCTGGAACTGACTCGTACAATAGCAAACACACTAATTAATGTCCTTTACCTCCCCCCAGTCACGTGCATCCCACATGGGAGGACAGTCAAAGCGGTTGCAGGCTTGGAAAGGGTTTGGTTTGGGGTTCAGACAGTCCTCATCCTTCAAAACCGCCGTGTAGTTGCTGTCTCGAGAAGGGCGATGAGTGCACGCCACAGTGCGGGTCATCAGACCAACCCCACAGGTAGCAGAGCATGAACTCCACTCCCCAGTCTTCCACCTGCAAAAATGATTAATTATAAAAATCAAGGTCCGGTATGCACGTGCGCCGTAGGTCTAAATGCAGAGCAGCCAACGGAGCTCAGTCTAAATGCTTCATGCGTTTTCTCGATCTAACGAGAGGCCCTAAAGTCTTATCGGTATGCAAATTTGTGAAAATGGAATAAAAAAATATGAATAAAAGAGCAAAGTGCATATGATGTCCCACTGCGCTCCATATTTGAATTCCCTATAGAGACCCAAGGAGAACTGTGTCATACGGTTGACAAGGATTAATAGACAACATCAGCCCAACATCAAAATGATCTTTAAGGTTTGACTTTTCATTCCAACCTGAAGGAAATTGCCAACTACTGGTAGTTGTTGTGACAACTTTACTCTTAGTTTGACAGATCAAGTGATATTACAAAACCATTCATATTTACTTAAGAATCCTGGGACAGAGGAAGAAGTGGGAATAAATCTCGTTCATGGGCTGGTACAAACTAAAGCTTTTGGCTGTTTCCCCTCGGAGGGAACACTATCCAGAGAGCGCAGCTTGTTATGAGGGGTGAGGCGAGGCCTCGGGGAGGAAGGTAAGGGCCAAAGAAAACAAGTCTGATGCAGCATTTGTTGTGCGTGAAAACAAGACGAAAGGCCTGGAAAAACAAGCAAGGCCAGGCTGCGAGCCTCTGGATTTATGAAAACGAGCACTGACAGCATGCGTGGTGTTAACCTGAAACATGTGGCCTACCACGATCCTTTTAGCCACCATTTATTTATGATCAACAACGCGCCGTGTCACTGTTTAACCTTCACGCTAATTTATCAGTTCTGATGGAAATACATGGTCCAAGTGATGTAAACAAAAAATGTCACATTTACAGTTCCAACAGTGGAGCTTTTGATGATTAAAATTACAATAAATTTCCTCTCCTTGACCAACACTTTAGTCCAAATCAAGCTGCTCTGTAACGAAAAGACACACCGTCACTGAATACATTTAGACAAAAAGTGAAGTTGGGTGTTGCTGCTGATACACCTAAGAACAACAACCAAGAAACAGACCTTCTGAAATGAAATAAAAATATACGTTTACAAATTTTCCATGCATTAGGGTTTGGTCAATGTCTAGGCCTGACTCAACTTGTTTTCCTCTGTTGGGCCTTAACTGGACTGACTGAATAACGTTAAATTATTTCTTGAATATAATATATTCTGTGTAAATCTTGCTGCCTTAGATGTTTTTATTCATTCAACAAGAGCGACATAAGTGATGCAATCAAAACACTTGTTTCGCTGAAGGGTTTAAATTATGTTGAAGAAAATTAATGTGGTCACACCAAATAAAATGACTCAGATCCAGCAACGTTCTGTTCCCCTGGCTCAAAGGCTGTAAGGTCCAATAAAACGATGGATCCATCAGCAAATAGGGACGAATAAATGAGTGAGTTTGTTTCAATGTTTTTTGTTGTTGTTGTTTATTTATCTCCATCTTCTACCGCTTATCCTTAGTCAGGTCATGGAGGCAGCAGGTCCAGGAGAGAAACCCAGGAAACACCCTCCAGTTTCTCTGGGGCATTCCAAGGCCAGAGAAAATACACAGTTCTTCACTGTGTTCTGGGCCTGCCTCAGGGTCTTCTCCAAATGGAAGAAGACTAGAAAACCTCCAGATGGAGGCACTCAGGGCGCATCCTAAACATATACCCGACCACCTCAACTGGCTCCTTTCACTCCATCCGGATGATGGAGCTCTCATCCCGTCTTTAAGGCTGAGCCTGGCCACTCTACAAAGGAATCTCATTTTGGCCTCTTGTATCCGGGATCTCGTTCTTTCGGTCATGATCCAAACCTCATGACCATAGGTGATGACTGGAACATTGACAGACCAGTACATTAAGAACTTTGCCTTTAAACTAAACTCTTTGTTCACCACGACTGACCGAAGCAACCCCATCATTACTTTGGATGTTTCTCATCCATCAATCCATCTCCCGTACCATTCTACCATCACTGCTAAACAAAACACCCAGATCCTTAAACTGATAATGCAGCTTTAGGACTGATCCCCGGTCATTTTCACCCCTATCAGGAATTTCATCCATGTGACCAGAGTGGTCCATCGTGAGTCACACTAACAAAGACCAACATGAAAGGCTAAATCGTGTCATCTGGTCCAGTTTCTTGTTGTCATCTACCTGGATGTTTGAGCTTACAACCCTTTTTCTGAACCACTTGGTCCTCGGTTGTCCTCAGGCTGTTTGTGAGTAGCAAGTTGGCCATCTGTTCAAAAACATTTGATTGTTGTACATGATGATTGATTGTTTTGGATGGGTGTGTTTTGCACATGTTAAAAGCCTACTTTGAGATTCCAACAGGAAACGGCAGTGAAGGCTACTACCTATGGGACAGATCTGGTTGGCAGGCCGTAGACTGAAGAAGTCCTCTGGATGATGGGGAACGAAACGTTTCTCACTTAAAGAAACTAGTCCAGATGTCACGATTTAATCTTTCTTGTTGTCTACCTGGACGATGGAGCTTTCAACTAACAAAGACCCTAACGAGCCCCTATTGTGAGGAGCGATAGGGCAATCTGCACATGTATCTAGCTTACGTCAGCTTTACAACTCTGTTTTTTGAGTTGAGAAAGCTCCTCAGATGAGAAAAGTCTTCTGTTAAAAAAAAAAAAAAAAAAGTCCAGTTGTATTTGTCTCCAACTTTTTTTGAATCCTCCCACCGAAATATTTAATTACATTTTTTTTTGTTCATTTAAAAGTTACATATTTGGCTGAAAAATAAACTTGACAAGTTTCATCACTAAAATGTACTTTTACTTTATTCAAACACAGCATAACACTTTTATTGTAGCTGTTTCACCAAAAGACAATGAAGATTAAATTTGGCTAAAGCTCCTCGTCATTTATCAACAGAACTGACGGAAATCCTTAAAGTCCTTCCGAGGAAGATTTTAATATCTGAGCCGTGCTAACCACAGACATCAGATCCTCGTGGGGCAGATTGTAACCACGGTCCACAGAGCCTAATTTCCTGCTCGCAGCGATGCACCCATCCATCTCTGTCACTCTGCTTCAGTATCATTTAGACCCCAGTTGCTTAAATTGTGATTTAATCGGCTCAAGTGGTTTAATCTGCTTGAAACAACGCAGACGATTAGAAACGCCGAAACATCTGTCGTATAACAAACGATTAGTGAGAGTTCAGACGATGGTGACTTTTTGTTTCTCGTTTGAGATTTAAGTAGTTGCATGTGTACGAGCATTAAATAAACGGCACATAAAACTATCTGAGCTCCACATATTGAGTATTCTGGAAGGATATCATCTTGGCAACCAGATTTCAAATGAAATTTATTTTGTATTTTCTTTCTGAATGCGGCCAACAAGACCCAAAAAAAGCTATTTTCTTCTCGTTTTTACGACATCCATCAAAGTCCACGTAATGTTCACGCACGAGCCGTAGAAACAACGTTAAAATTTTAACGACGGCGATGAGGACATCTGATTTGTGGGTTCACTGTACCTCGGCGGGCAGGGCTGGCTGTTACAGTGCTGGAGGAGTTGTGGGGGCGGCGGGGAGCTCTGGCACCGGCTTTGGTCCGCTGGTCCCCTGGTTTGCTTGTTCAGACAAACCACCACGGCTTCCTGCACACCTGGAGTCCAACAACACAACGGAGGCTCAAAAGACGCCCGAAGAATCAGCACTAACATTGTTTCTGCTCAATATATTCCTCCGAATTATACTCGAACTATGGAGTCATAGTAAAAGTATTCAAAGTGTTTTTACTGGGACTAAAAATACAGCCATTACCGACATTTGGGCCAAAATTCTTCCACTGTGAGGCGAGATGGAAAAGGACGTCCAAAATACAATTTAAGTTATTGCAGCTAAACGCCATTTTTACAATCTTTTTGAATCACAGGGTGTGCACGTGGGTTTTTCCACACTCGGCTTCTGCACTTTAACTTCGTTTGTGTTAAAATAAATAATGACACAATGCCGTTCATCTGAGGCCGAATTCACTTAAATTTAAAACCTATACTCAAGAAAATTAATTTACAAAATGAACGTGGATAAAACGTGGAACAAATTTCCGCCCAGTTTTATGGTTTTCGGTCAAAACGAGGCAGTTGTGAGGTTAAATCTTTACATCTCGGTTTGGTCAACTTCATCTTTTTAGGGCTGGTTTGAGTTTTTTGATTTAATTTTTTACTGGCTGCCATGAAAGGTGATCAATGTCTGTGTGTGTTTGGGTCTCATGAATCAGTTGGATGTTACGACTCGATTCAAGATGGCCGTCACAGCTAATTCATCTTAGCTCATTAAAAAAAGGCCAAACTCAGCCAGTTTTACAAATATTCAGCTACAATTTGGCGCGGTAGTAGCCGAGAGTCACTCTTAACGCATGAGTTCTTCACATTGTGCCAGACTTTTTCTAAAAATTGTTGTCTGTGGTCAAAACAACAAATCAACTGTTTTTAATTATTTCATTTTTTTGGGCTGTTCCTTTCTTGCAGGGTCGCCACATTGAGCGAACTCACAAAAGATTTGGGAAAATTGTGAGACCGCAGCACTGACCACCGAGCTACCGCAGCTGTAAACTATCTAAAGTACTTACTGAAACTTTGTAGACACGACCAGCGGAGGCGCATCTGCAAATTAATCATTTTTCTAGTCCCAAGTGATCAATTATTATACAGACCCATTTATTTCATGCAACTTTGAGACAATGTAAATGTTTAAAGCTGACAAAAACCAACACTTATGTACGGTGGCCCTGAGGTGTAAATGAACAACATTTGAAAAAATGGAATTACCGTACATTAAGCCAAAGCGGATGTGGCCGGAGCGGAAGGGGCCAGAATCACATTTGAAAAAAACTGAATTACATTAACTGTTTTTTTTTTTTTTCAAATGTTGTGTCTTTTCAAATTTAATTGTTTCTTGAAATGTAGTTCCGTTTTTTCAAATGTTCATTTACACCTCAGGGCCACCGTACCTTATGTGTGGAGAAACGGTTTAGGCTTGGACTCGGCCTTATTCGATTTATCTACCTGGATTATTGAGCATGCATCAGGACATAAAGGTCTATACCTCCACCGCAGCTCTCTGAGCACTCCGTAAACCCCTCGTACTCCCAGTCATGGAGGTCCCTTCCCTGTGGCGTGGTCTCCTCGTCTTTACCTTCACCTCCATGGCCCGGTCCTCCCGAGCAGGGTTTGTTGTAGCACGGCTGGACCGCGACAGGTCGGTTCCCCTCGCAGTCGTCATCGGGCAGGTCAACGACGGCTTGGGAGAAGGACAGCAACACCTGACATGTGACGGTCCGCCGCTGCGTTCCCACGCCACACGTCCTGCTGCAGAGCTGCCAGGAGCCGGGGACGAAGCTGCAGGACGATCACACAGAGGACGAATACACAAAACGTTCACCTCGCTATGTGGAGCGCAACGAGCCGAACCTACACAGTTTGCACAGAACAGAAAAACCACCAGGTTCATAAAGTAGACCTTTAACAGACAGTCCTGCTGTGAATTTCAAAGCAGCTGTGAAACATTAGGACCTAACAACAACAACAAAAAAAGTGATTTCATGCACACCCTTATATCCAGGAACAAAAAAAAGAAAGATGTTCCTCCTACTGTTACAACAGCTTCAGGACTGGATGAGAAGAAACAACTAGAAAAGTTCCTGATGAAACGTTGCCACTTGGCCGCCAATTAATTTTTTTCTTTGCATTTACTACGTTTTAGATCGCTCTAAGCTAGTACCATACCAAGATTTAACTCAATATGTCCCAAAATGGCAGAGTTATAGCTATTTTAAATTAGCTGTAGTAGCCATTTTGAATTTTTGATTAGCATTTAGAATTTGGTAAAGGTTGGTCTTGGTTACTGCTGCACTGACTGAATTTCAGCTTTGTATGGCTAAAAATGGCCGAATTATAGCCCTTTATAAAATTAGCATTAGCGGTTAGCTTGGAACTGTAATTAGCATTCAGCTTGTTCTTAGCTACCACCTTAACACTGCTTCTTATACTTTTCTTAAGGCAGTCACCAATAAAACACAAAAAGCTGAGTTTGGAAAGAAAGTCGACAAACACCTGACGTCTAAATTTAAGAAACGCTGGACTGAACAGAAACTTTACGTCTGCTGAAAGATGAAAAGGACAAATCAGAGTCTGAACTCCAGACCGCAGTCATCTGGAGTCATTTAAGCCCATTTTTGTCCGTTGATTGGGCTGACGGTAACAGGTGCTTCGTGCCAGGGACGTGTTCGTCGGTCAGTTCTCAGGAGACGACTCAGCAGTCGGGAATATTTTAGCTGATGTTGGACCGGTCTAACCGGACAGTATACCATCATCTGCAAAGGTCTAAAGGTGAAAGGACTGACCAAATGGATGAGTAATGGGACGGTTTTTAACCAGATTTGAAATAATCCATATCAGCTGATCCTAAACAAATTAACTCCCCGCTGATCTTGGGTTAAGTTGATTCACGGGGCCTCAGTTTTATCCAAGGGTGGCAGGAGGGTTAAAAGACACGCTCGTCTGCAGGCAGCTCTATTGGTCCATATGATTCTGCATCTTTGGGTTAATCAAACTGTTTCTCCACTTCCAGCAGGAGGATGTTTTGGTACAACACCAGCAGAACACAAAGAAAATTAACTGGAGGACCTTTCAAACTCTAAAGAAACAATTTTATATCTGCCACAGCAAATGGTAAGGTTTTATTTTCAACCCTTGGTGAGGGATGATCGTCCTACTGTTACAAACTAGAAGAATTTACCCTCATTATTTCATCCATCTTTGTTTTCCACTCAAAATATGGCAGAATAAATGTTTATCAACAATAAACATTCATATTTATGGGTTAAAAACGTTCAAAATAATAATAAAAAAAAAAAAATCAATTTTTGTAAAATTCACCAAAACAGTTGGGATGTGATATCCAGTTGCTGATAACTGGTGTCACTGATCCTTCCATTACCTTCTGCTACCCTCTGTCTGTGTGTTCATCTCATAAACCAGGCAAAGTTCTATGAAAAATAATCACTGGATGTGTATTGAACGATTAAGTTTTGGAGTTCAATATGGCAGCCGAAGCTAAATGACACGAAAACAGCTAAAACTCAGTTAATTCTTACAGATATTGAGCTAAAATTTGATGTGGTGGTAGCTGAGAGTCATCTCCATCACCTACTTTCAGCACCAACAGACCTTCACGTTTTAAGAGAAATTGTATGAGTTTGTAATTAACATATATCTGCGAGATATTATTCATAATTTAAACAGATTCTTTCATTTTTCTGGACTGAGTTCCATCGTGCATTGAATGATTAAATGTGGACGGAAACGTGTTTTAATTTCTGACTCACCATCAACAGTGAGCCGTTTATTTAAAAACGATTTAAAACAACATCACACATTTACATTAATTGGCAGATTGAATTCAATAACACAGCTTAATTAATACAACAGACATTTATGAAAATATCTGGATGATTACTGGCAGATAGAAGAGTTTTAAAGATGGGAAATGAAGGAGTTTACATGGAGAGAATGGGTGAGGGAAATGTGTCTGTATAACGAACGGCACTCTCCATTCGAACCCAGCTCCACCTCGGTACGCTTCGGTAGGAAATCGACTCGTTACCTCTCTGAAGATGAATCAGCTGGTACGGAGTTCCATTTAACGCTACCATTTCCAGCGTCTCCGTAGGATGGTTGGAAAACGTCCGGAGTAGTGACGGTACTTCGTTCAACACCACGCTCACCTCTCGGGTGGGCTCGCATGAGCTGTGAGCCCGTCAGAGGTTCCACTCAGATGTGGAAGATTCCATAATCCCCACGAGACTCGGAAGAACTTCGGATCATGTCTGGAACTTCTTGTTCTCTCCAGCACTTTTCTGTTCGGTTCTGCTCTCCGAACTGAACTGCACTCCTTGGAACTAGGAAGTGTCGACCCTTTTAAAGAGGTCACTTCCGGTTCCTCTGAGAACTTCCTGATTGGCTGATAGAACCAACAGGGGTGTGGTCTTAGTGATGTAAGAGGTTATTAAAAGTCAAGGAGAAAGAGTAGATTGTTTTAAGAACAGACAGAAAGATGTTTTGAAGAAATTAGACTTTTTGGTGCCAGTCTTCCTTCTATCTGTCTGATAGAGATAAACATGACATTTCTTTCCAGTAAACATGTTTTTGACCGAAACTTGACTTTTGACCAACTTACAACTTGCTCATTTCAGACAGAAAATCAAAAATGCATCATTACTCTTGTAACAGACCTTAACTTGATTTCTACTTTGAATGAGGATTAAAAATCATTAATACTGTTTCACAGTTGATTTAAAATGAGTAGTTCACTTCAACATTTAAAAATGGTTTGAACTAAACACACTTTTGATTATCAAGACATTTGTAAAATAGTAATGATAATAAAAAAGAGAGTGTTCTTTCAATTGATCAGTGCAGGACACTTAGAAAGTCTCTGGATGAACTTAATTTTGTGTTTCTGGACTCAAATCAATGAAATAACAGTTCTTGTCCCAGGAAGGCCCTCAGGGCCAGATTTGACCTGAGGCTTAGTTCACTACAAGTTCAAGACGAGCGGCTTAGAAGAAATACTTTAATTTGATAACAATAAGAATTGGAAAAGAATAAAATAGAATTTAAACCAAATAAAATTTATTTTTAATTAAAAATGACAAAAAAATTACAATTAAATACTATAAAAATGGGCTAATTGCTATTCACAGTCTAAGTTTATGTTTTGTTACTTCAAAGTGGGCTTTTTAAAATTTTTCCACAAATAAGGACTCACCTGCAGAGTTTAGTGTTTTAATTTTTATTAAAATCTGTATAAACTATATTTTTCATTCTTTAAATGAACACTGTCTCTTTTTTTGTCCTAAAATGAAAAAATATCAAGAAATGTTAAAATTCATGATTTTAGTTTTATGCAGAAAAGCCCCACTCTTACAACTCAAATTGGCCCATGGGCCATCAGTTGATGCTCTTTTGATCTAAAAGGTCGCAGACCCTCTGTCCTAAAGTAACTCACATGTTCTACCGTTCATGTTTACATTACAAAGTTTCATTAACACATGCCCAGTACTCCTCCTCGTCCGACCACAAACACAAAACTCGCCGTTTTACAAGAAGCCCCGATCAAGAGTTCATAACCGTAGAAGAGTCGTCTCTTTACGAGCGTTCGGGGTCTCGCTGCGATTTGGACAAGCGAACCGCTCGCAGTCGGAGCTTGGAACCGGAACAGCAAAGTCAACAAAACGAAGCGCGCAGAAATGTTTGCCGTCACGCGCCGTTAAAGCACATCTGTCAGCTCACAAACAACCTCGGTTCCATTCGGGGCAGGAAGCAACAGATTTCTGCAGAAGCTGCCAAGGCCTCGTGTTAACCGCGCCGATTAAATCCCCATCAGCAGAAATATTCCATGAAAAACATAACGTGAAGCAGATTGCGAAGCACGAATTGGCTTTCGAGCAGCTGCGCGGCGCCCGTTGGGAACTCGCAGAAAGTTAGCCAATAAAGGTGCACCAAGTCCAAAAAAGGAGTTTCCTCTCATCCAGAACTTGGTCCCCTGTGGCACCAAGATATTGTTGCTGGCCTGGAAACGCCTCCGCATTATACACGGATATTTATGTGCTTTTGAGGAAAAACATGCCCCCCCCCCCCCCCAACGGAACAAAAATCATAAGTTTTGGCATTTCTGTGTATTCCTGTCCCACTCCAAATACAAGTCAGAGGAACAGATGATTAAAACTGGAAAACCTGTTGCTCATATAAGTCATCCAGGAACATCAGGCAGCATCCAAACTGTGTCCATCTTCAGGGGACAGAACATCTGGAAGATTACAAAGCTTGCTGAGGTAAGCGCTGGTAGGCAAAGTTTTCAAAAAAAGTTTTTTGTCCTTGTTCACCTTCGGTTTCCCCTTTTTACCCTCAATAACCCCAGAAGGTCCATTCAAACTCCTTCACTTGAGCAGAAATTCTCTAACATTCGGCACGCCGTGGGTGATTTCCCAGAGACATCGGCTCCGACGAGCGAACGGCTTGACAAGCCGCTGAGAACTACAGTTGTAGGTTTTGACTTCAGGTTGATGGAAACTGTTTCTGACACGAGCACAGTCATGATACTGTGGTGGTTTCATGGCAGCAAGCAGCCCCGTCTGCTTCAATTTGACCCTCGTTTTTTTCTTTCTTTAAGCTTTGGACTCTGAAAGTTGTTTTTACAAACTGCAAATCTGCAACATGAATTGCTTTTTTGTTTTGCCTTTTTTAACCCATGTGGTATAATTCTGTCAAGGAGAAATTTGATGCTATAAATTTCCACTTCTCTTATTGATTATATTGATATGGACCTTACGTCTAAATGCAGCCACACCACAACAGAAGTCGGCACATTGCTTATTTTTCCAAGTTATCTAGCTCACAAGGTTTACAGATACAAATATATGTGGCAACAGCCATCTTGGACTTTGATCTGGCCACCCAGTTTTCAAAAAGAGCTATTTTTAATGCCTATATGTAACCACACACCAAAATGGCAGTCGGTACCTCACTTATTTTTCAAGTTGTGCTCACAATATTCACGGATGGACAGACGGACGGAGAGTATTTCCAATTCCCTCTTTTCAATCCGCAGAGTCCGCAACGAGGGACAATAACAGTTTAGTCCTAAACAGTCCTAAAAGAACGTTCTTTTTGTTTTTGTGCACTCATGCATATTTGGTACTCACGTTGGTTCCTCGGTTACGGTTACTTCCTCCTCCAGCTCTATTGCCTGCTTGTGCCACACAGGTTTCGCCTCAACAGGCAGCGTGTCTAAAGCAAATTGCACAGATACGCTTAACATTGCGTGAAACCACTGAGAAATTAGTGAAAGTCGGGCGGTCAAACATTCCCCACCTATGGACTTGTAGCAGGGTACTGTAACCAGACACTCCTCCTTGATGTGGGGTTTGGTGGTGGGGCTGCATCCTCCGGCGTGGAGTCCTCGATGATCGATGCACAGCACCACTCTGTAGCGCAGACCCTGACCACAGGTCACCGTGCACTGGTGGCGACAGGTCAAACGGGGGTTTTCTCAGTCTATTCTACACAACTACTGTGGTTACATTTGTCTGCTTGTAGCTTATGAAAAACGTCTCAGACTGTAAGCTCAAGGGGAGGTGAAGAAAGAAACCACCTAAAATCCCATCAAGCCTCCACTCAGGAGCAAACTTTGTTTAGCTTCTGCCAAAAGAAGCATTTTAAATGCAGACGAGGAATGTGCTAAACTAACAGTGTGCTGGGTTTTAAGCGGGGCCACAAATCTGGATCTCTAAGCTTCGACAAGAGCCTGCTTTAACTTTAGAGGGAGGAAAATACCTGGGAGGAAGTTGTACGAGACATTTATGGTTAGACTGGTTGCTGTAATGGCACATCTAGTAATAAAAGCTAAATATGTTGGCCAAGTAGGTCAGACTGATGAATATCTGTGTGTAATGGTAAAAATGGGATTAACAGCCTCAAATCTTCTTGTTTCCATCAAGATGCTACTTGCTGTTTGAACAAAATCACAAATTAGACAGTCTCGGTTTTAGGTGGTAACACTCAATCACTGGTCTGATTGACAAGGATTTGAAGAAATCTCAGAGATAAATACAATTGTATTGCCAAAGGATGCCCCACGACCTTCAGGACCTTAGACTGCACCATATTAAAACCAGGTCTGATTTTGTTGTGAACATCACTGGATGGGTCAGGATCACACAGTTCCATTCACAAATGCTGGTTAAAGGTCTATCGTGCAAAGAATAAGGCGTATGTAAACACCGTACAGAAACATGGCTATCTTCTATGGACCAAAGCTCATTTAAAATGGACTGAGGTCAAGTCGCTGCCAAAAAACTTGTGATTATCTTTTTTTTTTTAATGTAACATTAATGTTTAAATGTTTAATATGTTCAGTTTTAAATAAATTATGGGTTCATATAATATTCAAGTCATCGTGTTCTGTTTTTATTTACCTGTTACATGACATCCCAAATTTTTTCAAAATTGAGGTTAGAGCGGTTGTTGCAGATTCACCATTTTCCCTCCAAAATTAGAAATTAGAGGATGGTGATCATAATGTGGGATAATCTTTTCTCTCTCCACTAGTTTCTTTACCATAAATAAACATAAAGAAGGGTACTAACAGGGGACCACTCCTGAGCCAGCCAGGTGGGGCAGTCGAATGTGTTGCAGGGCTGCAGGATGGCGGTCTTGGGAGAGTAGTGACACTTCCACTCATCTGTGGGAGTGATGTTCCCCTGCATGTCCTCCTCTACACATGTCACAGAGCGACTCTGGATGCCACCGCCGCAGGAAGAGGAGCAAGTCGTCCAGGGACTGCTCTCCCACCTGAAATTAGGAGATTACTCAGTGGATTTGCACTGTGACATGCGTACTACCTATAGTGCAGAACATACCTAGGTAAGGGGTGGTAGTGGTCGTATGGCATAATTTCCTTGTAACCATCACTAAAACACAGAAATTATTAGGGTTATGGAGCTTAGCAACAAAAAAATGTGTTGTTGAAATAATTTTGGTCTGTTTTGAGTCCCTCGGAGAAGCAGAACCCAACCTGTCCAAGCAGGGCTCCATGTTGCATTCCTGCAGTTTAGGCTTTGGTTTGACGTTCTCTGGATAGTAATGACAGTACTGGTCCACAACCACCCGACCAGTCCGTAGGTCAAAGCACTCTGCAGAGGTTAACTGGTAACCTACCAAAAAAGAAACGAGAAGCGTGAAATTGTCGACCAAGGCCAAAAAAGCACTTCGATTTGGTGAACCATCAGAAATTAGAGAACATGTTTGTGTTACAGCATTCAGTCAAATTGGGGAAAACGGGTTGGATTTTTGTAGCGTTTACCTCCGCCACATGTGACAGAGCAAGGGAAGAAGTCAGTCTCCCTCCAGCGGTGAATGATGGGCTGGTAGTAAATGTATTGGACAACGCTGTCGGCTCCTCTGGCAAACTGTACCTATAGGAAAAAATTTACAAAAGGTCAATATTTCTAATTTATCTGAGTGATCCTACAAAGTAAAAATGAGCAGGAAAGCAACAGTATTTAATCTAAGAGAAATTGAAAATTACAAAGACACTGTCTGGAAAATGAAATGGATAAACCAAAGGAATAAGGGTTGTGAAGGTCAAACCAACCTTCCTTGTTTAAGTTTTTCCACTTGTTATATTTGGATTTCTAAGATAACTGGATTTGAACTAATTAATTGGGATTCAATAAAGCTAAATAAACTGTAACCAGTTTAATTCAGTCAAATTTATTGACATAGCATCAATTTAGGGTCATGTACAAGTTGACTTAATGTAAAGTTAGAAGCAGATTTATATCCAAATACAACCATTCCAGTTCAATCCAATTCAATTAAGTCCAGGTATAGTTTAACAGTCAAATTCAGTAAAATATAAAGTTCCACTTACTAAATGCCTAAAGCTCATTCATACATCATTTCAGAAACTCTTTATGTCGGCCTCAAGTTGACTTGTGGAACAGGCAATTGAAGCCTTTCTTCCATTTTTACACTTCTCAACTCGCAAGGGATGGTAGTCACAAAGCTGAGTTGGTGAGTAAGTGGGAACTGAAGTACAGAGTCTGCATCACACCACTCTAACCACAGGATGGACATATTTTAGCTGGGCTTGGTCATTTTGTGAATGACTAGAGACTACTAACAGAGGGGCTCATATTTGTTGCCATATTGTAGGATCAAAATACAAAAGAGGCTCTTGTAAACCAAATGGATTGTATCAATCCAAAAGAGTTAAGTATTATTTTTTGAAGGGAGCTCAAGGTAGAGCTGCTGCTCCTCCACTTCAAAATCGGGCATCTAAATAATATGCCTTCCTCTGGATATTTTTTGACATGTACTACTGGAAGGCGATATCGTGGCAGAACCAAAACTGGCTAGAGGGGTTACATATCTCTGAACTGGGAACTCCTCTGGAGAGTGTTGTTGGTACGAGGGATACCTATGTTTTCCTCCTGAACTTGTTATCCCTGCAGTCTGATTATAGGTAAATGGAAGAAAATGGATGAATAGATATTACTTTCCTACCCCATCTTGTGTGGAATATAAGGAATGACTTCCAAATCTGAAAGTACAAACCTGTTAAGGTACTGCATTGCCCAAATGCAGCAGCCACTTAAGAAAATAAGTAGGATCATATTGCTGAATTGTTTATTGGAAAGAGAACTTTTTTTTTTTTAATGCAACGCTTGGGTTGAGGGAAGATGGGAATGGGGCCTTCAGGCAGACCCAGAACTCGTTGGAGGGATTATATAGATCCTCTCTGACCTGGGAATACCTTGAGATCCCCCAGGAAAAGCTGGGCTTCTTTCCTGGACCCGTTTCCTCCACAACCCGACCACAAATCAGCGGTAGAAGATGGACAAGAGGACACTTTGGTTTGTCATACTGGCGTCCCATGTAATTTGCTTACATTTGGCTTTGGTTAAAAAAAACAAACTGAAAGTTATCAGTTTCAATCAAGTGACAGATCCAGTTTGGCAGAGAAGGTCGGTGATTGGAATGGGAAACGAGAGAGAAAATGTCTTAGCAAGAAAATTAAACTGTGTTTGAGAAACAATCTTAACCTGAACACTCAAACAGAACTGATCTGATCAGTCAGTTCACAGATACGTATTGAGCAGTACTGAACTGACATACCATTTCAGAGCAAGGAAACGTGATTCAAAGATTGTTAAGATCTCTACATCTAAAAGATTAGATGTTATCGTGATTTTAGCTATTCTATCAGTGGTGCTGGCTTTTTGATTGAAGATTAGATTTATTAAACATGTATAAAAGGTAAGATAACTACATTCAGAAATATTAATGCACTAGGTAACTTCAGTAAGCCAAACCAACCAAAGGTTCTGTTCATGCTTCAACACGTCACTTGTGCAAGGGAAGTAGATGGGTCATTTGAATTTCACATTGAAATGGTTCACACATACTCCAGTATCTTTAAATCTAAACATATGAAACCAAATCAGTTTTGCAGAGTGCTCAACACCGAGAGGTTCAGCTGGAGTTCATAAATGAAAGCCTTATATGAAACTGGTGTGGAAAGGCTCTTTAGAATGTTTCACGGTAAGAAAATTAAATAAATACACAATAGGTTGGTGATACTGAAAGATTTTTAGTTTAACATTTTGTCATTTTAAACCTCAGTTTTCAACCTGACAAAGCAGACAGCATTTTTCTCAGTGCATGTCCAGAAATAATGTGTAGACCTGGAAAATAAATTAAACGAGATAGAAAAGTGGCACAGGAATTGAATACAATACGTATCTGATGTGCAGCGGGAAAAAGAATAGCCTATAATAAAAAGCCTTATTCAGAACCACACAGGAAATTATCAACAGAACACTGCATAAAAGAGGACAGAAGCTTTAATATAAAGTATATTACAGTAATGTGTTAAATATTAAACAAGCCCTTGTCTAATTTTATTTTGCTTTTAGGGAGGAATATTTTAATGTAATCTTTAAAATAGGTCTTGATCTCTCCAAGATTTCAAAGTATTTTATTTTTATACTTTACAAATTTTGTACGCTCTTCGTTGGCTTTAAAATATTATTTTGTCTGTAAAACTGTGTTATCTCTATCATTTTTCATGGATTGAACTAAAGAAATACAAACAAATTGTGTTTGTTACCATCAAGCTAGTTAGCTTACTAGCTAGGTACCGTTACTAGCAGAATTACAAGTTAGTTTTAGGTAACTAGTTTTTTCTCTAGTGGTGCGATTGCTTAATTAGTTAGTCAACCTGTGAATTTTTTTTTCTTCCATAGTTTCTATTAAAAACTAATTATATCTTAGTTAAAAGGAACTAGCTAAAGTACTAGCTAGCCACAATTAGCAAGATTTCAAGCTAGCTAAAATTTTAACTTGTTTCCAGCCAAACATTTAGTTTAAAAAAAATAAAAATTCTGCTAAGTTGTCTTTTATGAGTGGACACACGGCAGCACGGTGGCACAACTGGTAGAGCTGCTGCCTCTCAGCAAGCAGGTCCTTGGTTCAAACCCCGGTCCAGGGGCCTTTCTGGGTGGAGTTTGCATGTTCTCTCCGTGCATGCGTGGGTTTTCTCCGGGTGCTCCGGTTTCCTCCCACAGACCAAAAACATGCATGTTAGGCTGATTGGTAACTCTAAATTGTCCCTAGGTGTGAATGAGAAAGTCAATGGTTGTTTGTCTCGTTTGTCTCTGTGTGTCCCTGTGATGGACTTACGACCTGTCCAGGGTGTACCCCGCCCCTCGCACAGTGATTGCTGGACATGGGCACCAGCGACCCCCGTGACCCAAAATGGAATAAGCGGGTAAAGATAATGGATGGATGGATGGAGTGGACACACTTGTTCATTACAGTTCAAAGGTCTTTTTGTGCCTTAACACACACACACACACACGCACGCACACACACACACACACACACACACACACACACACACACACACACAC